ACACACAGAACGTTGGTATGAGATCACTATAAAAAGATCACTCGTTTATAGGGTAATTTGTTTACCAATTGCTAATGATGACATCTTTATCATCGCCATTGCAAAGTAGGCGCCTGGATTTCTAGTTGCGTTCCACTTTATATTTGTTACGTCATGAACAATTACATTACATTGAAATTCTGATGATGTCACTTGCAACACACTGTATTTTTTTAACTGACTTTAAAAATAGGAGGAGGTTTTCAATTCCACTACATGTTATATGTACGTTACCCGATTACACCCGGTGTTTGTGAACCAATTTCGATTATCCTTTTTTTTGTTGGTCCCATTTAAATTTGAAGATAATTTTCCATCCGGTTTAACGCACTTTCCGGTAACCGATTTCAATAGAACTTGGCAAATAAATGTAATTCCATCAACTTTTAAGGATTTTTTTTCATAAAAGGCATTAATAATCACCACCAATCCGTTCTGTTTAGCTGGACGGCGCCAAAATCGGCATGGGCCCCGGCACCCCCGGCAACGAGGGGGTCCTGGCGAACTTCTTCAACTCGCTGCTGTACAAGAAGACGGGCTCCCCCGGCGGCAGGCCCACTGACGCTGCGCCGGCGGCGGCCGCGGCGCGCTCCGACGCCGCGGCGGAGCTGGACCGGCTCACCAGAGCCAAGAGTCGTCCTCCGCCGCCAATCGACCTCAACTCCTCGTCGGAGTGCTAGTGATCTGTGCTCCGAGCGTCTAGGTCAGTATTATGTTATAAATATTAATCCACATTCAATTATGGCTGTGGCCTCAGAATAATAACGCATAGAGACCTAATCCGCACACGCAAAGTGAGGCAAATTCTAGGGACCCAAATAGGCTTACGCGAGCGGGCGGGCCGTTAGTGCTCAAGGTCAACTTGCACCGCGAACAGCTCAAGAATTTTAGCTAAAAATTACGAAGTGTGCGGTAAATGAGTATAAAAATACGTCAGACAAACATAAAATAGATACTAACATCACATTCCACAAGGAAATAACGCGTTTCAACTTGTATTGTTATGTAAATATTCACTAAAAAGGTACGAAAATGTTGCAAAGTAACGGATTTTTTTTCTCCCCATTTTGCTATTCTGTTTCAAAATAATTATATTACATATTTTTTTGAAAATAGGCAATATCGCGACTATTGCCGAATTTCTACAAATGTACACCGCCGTGACAACATTGTAGGGAATTTACGTTTACTATTTTTACGGAATATATTTAGTATTTGCCTTCATTAAATCAACATTCTTGTTCATCATACATGACTCATTTAAAAAAATTGTCTTGCCCAAACTCAAAATTTTTTAACAAGATAAATAATTAATAAATAAATAATTTTTGACAAGATAAATAAATTAAAAAAAAAAGAAAACTTATTTCAGGGAACTAACACTGACTAGAAAAGTCGTCGTCAGTTCTCCAAAGTCGTGTCATCATGTACTTTTCATGTGTTTATCCACAGATAATATCAGGCTATTTATAATCCAAATTTTCATGAACTAAAGTCAAATTCGATGGTCGCACTAAACTCCCTTTTAGGATTTTGTTCGTATATGAATTAAATAAAAATTCGGTAATATTTATTCACTCAATGATGAGTTAAGCAAGATACAATTTGTATATTTGTTTAGACTTGTGACAGTTCGTTTGATATGAAACTATCATTCTATGCCAATTGACTTACAAATAAATGGACGACGGGTCTAATACAAAAACCACGAAAAAAATGTCCCAAGTCAACCTATTCGAAATTTAAATTGTTATGTCATCGCAGTATCGCGCTGTCCGTAGAACAAATGAAGACTAAAGCGGAGTGTCGCGCTCTGTACGATTTTAGCGCCTTACAAGTGCGGACACTTTTTAGCGCTACCCGACGTCCATATAATTGTAAGTCAATGTTCTATGCGCTATTATTCTAAGACTGTGGCTTATGCTGATTGAAATCCTTTTGCGTACGCTATAACCGCACGAATGACAGTACAAAATATATAGTCGTTATATTTTGTTTTTTTGCTTTTTGTCAGTTTTGTCTTGTTTTTTTTTTGTTTTGTTCTATGTTTTATTTTGTTTTTTATTATATATATATCTGTGTTATCTATATTTTTTGTATCTATGTGTTGTGGCGTTGCAATACATGTCTATTCTATACTATTACGGCCCGGGCATTAGTACACACGTCTATATACAATATTTTGTAGCAGTAGAGCTCCTTGTGAAAGAGTTCATCCAGTGCCATACTACCACCTTACTTATTCCTACCGCCAAGCAGTAATGTGAAATGTGAACATTACAGGCACATGGGACTTGTCTTATGTCTTAGGGTGAAGGGCGCAGAGCCACTCAGAGCTTTGCTAATTAAAGCTCTGAGTGGCTCATGTGGTTTACCATCAGGTGCACGACTTGTTCGTCCCGTCACTTGATATTATAAAAAAAAATATTCCAATGATTGACATTTCCTTTTTCCGATTGCAGATTGTCACGAAGCTTGGGCCCGACGCTGGGCGCCACTCGGCTTGTACTTCTAGCGGCGCCGCCGCCCGAACTGACGTATGCCTTGATACTTCCAGTCTCGCTTGCTTCGCCTTACTGCCGCACGGGCACACGGCTCACTCAAATGTGTAGACACCTTTGTATTTGTGCGTTTTTATATCTTTTATAATACTTGAATGAGCAAATTCATTATATCAAATCAAACTTAAAGATTTTATGTTACGATATGTGTGGAATAGTAATATTAACATTTAATTAAGTACTTTTTTAAATTGTTGAGTTTAAACTAAACGTTTTTATATTTACGACTCTTTATTCAACCAGAAATCACGGAAAATTGAACCTTGAGTATATTTGCTCAATGACGTAAAAAGTCATGGTTACACAACATAAGGGAGTGGACCGGAGTCACGAAGGTTTCGCCATGGACAGAGACAAATTTGCCATATTGCCAACCAACAGTAATGGAGAGGCACTTTAACAAGATATTTGCTCATTTAAGTTAAAAAATTCTTATACTTTAATATCAATTTCAATATAAAGTTGTCTACACACTTGATATGATAACGACGAACGATTGTACGGGTCTTTTTATGATTATTCGTCAACTCTTAGTTCGTCGAATGTCTAGAAAATAAAGGAGCATTGATATACGAATTATCTCACGTTAAATTAATAGATGGAAATAAGATCACGATATTTTTTATTATTAAATGGGTATCTAACATGGCGGGCCAATATAATAAACGGTGCACCGAGGATCAATAGAAAGAAACGTGCAACGCGTGCTTACGGTCCACTAGGTGTCATCCTTTACTACATAAATATGTTTTGTTTCTTAATAAAATAAATATACAAAGTGGTTAAGATTTGAAGAGTAAAATACTATGAACATTTCTCAGAAGTTTTCAGTGTAAAAAATAAAGGGTTACCTATCAGTCTTATTTGTCCAAAATGACATTTTCCAGAAATAACGTTTGCTAGAATTTTCATAACCTCGAAAGTAATTTTGAGAGGAAAATGTTTTTTCTTTTAAACCTAACTGAATCTAATCGTGTCTTTTTGATAAACATCCAACATATCCTGAAACAACGATTTCGTTATAATTAGGTTTTCGGTGTAATGAAAATTCGAACAAACGGTATTTCGGAAAAAAGTTCCAGTTCGTGATAGGTTACCAAAATAAAGTCGTCGAATTACAATCATACCTGTAGTCTAAATAAAAGCTACTTAAGTGCTCTTATCGCTCATGTTATTCTTTTGCCGTAGCTTAATTGGTTCTCGAGTTTCAAGTGTTTATATTACACGCGCCTTATCGCGGCTCATAATGTAAACAAGAAAAAAACTGTCGACTTGACGATGACGTAAGCGATACGTGCCAGACGGCTGAATAGCTAATACATATACCAATGCTTCTATTTTCTTATGTGTTATTTTAGTAATGTAAAGGTTATATGAACACCGGCGATGAGTGATTACGGTATTGTTAATTTAGAGTTATTTGTAAAGTTAACGATAACGGAGATGGGGCATTACGTAGGCTTATGTTTTTTTTTTATACAATTGAAATAACTAAAATGCCCTCTATAGAGTTAGTACCGAAAATATGATTTGTTGTACGATAATGTTGTTAACCAATATTTCCAGTTTATTATAATAAGGTAAACTACTAGCAAGGCAGTAATGTTTAAGAAGTTTAAAACCAATGAGCCGAAATAATGCCCTTATCCCTTGTAACAGGAACAACTACATTTCCAATATGCTATATGAAACTAAATAAATGCAAAAAAGTATAGAACTGTCAAGGAACGTATGAACATTAGAAACACCAATAGGAACGCTTATAAACGAATGAATTTCAATTGCACCAATAGGATATATCCTAGATACTACAGACCACCAATCGGAAGCTTTCTATAGAGGTACTGTTCTTAAAGTGCACCAATCATAGACATACATAACCTCTAATGTTTTTTAAAAATGTCCTTGTCGGTCTATACTGTCCAAATCAGTGAACTGTTTACTTGTAATATGGTTTATGATATTAACTAAGTATTTATTTAGATAGTTAAAAGCTGGGATGTCTTGAGCGTTTCAATTTATTACGACTTGCAATGGGGGTGTGACCTATTCTATATGAACGCATAGCGGTATAAGGCCACACGTATTATCACTCTATAGGTACCTCGTTCTTGCTACGAGCGGGTACGGTTGAATATGTCGAATAAATTGGAGTACGCTTTCTAATGGTTAATAGCTGTACGTCGAATGAAAGACAGATAGAAAAACGCTGACTGCTATATAGAAAATCTCTTGAAAACGTGTCAATAGTTTGCCACGCTTTGGACTTACTAAAACACGTCTTGAGCAGCTTTTAATTAAGATTTGTTTGGGAAAACTTGAAAGACGATAAAAAAATTACAGCGGTATGTGTTTTTCTTCTGTTTTATAAATTAAAATCTGAGATTAGGAAGTTCCAAAACTTGTGATCTTCTGTGAAGACTGGCCGAGCGATGATTGGGCGTGTTTATGCACAATGAAGTCACTATTTGTACAAACCTAAGCTTTTGTACGTGAAGAAGTACTTTTTTCGAAATCATCCTGTTTTGGCCTGTAATATGTAAGATAGAGAAATATGAACCCTTAACATTCAATATTTATCGTAATTTATAGAAGTGACACCTCTCAGAGACAACGAAACAATGTACATCAATTCCTTTTTAACATCTATTTGACGAATTTTTATGCCAACTTAGCAATTCTCTGTTATTGAGTATAGTTCTTCATGTCCAAAAGCCATCACATGTATCATAAATTAGTATTGTATGTACATGTAACAAAATATTCAACATATATTTTTTTATATAACGATGATTTGTTAATATGGATTTTTTTGCCAACTGTAATAGTGACCTTTATTGTGTCTTGTAACTGAATTTATTTATTACAAAATAATATACAAAAAAATTTCGAATTATACTTTTATACCGACACGTTAGTTACGTTGAATCGACTTTTCTATAATTTTGATGTGTGGTTTTTAATTTGAGATTGGTTGTTGTGCAATAATGTACATTCCAAACGTAGTTTGGTGGTTATTATCATATAGTGAAAAAGTAAACTTATTGAATAATTCATATTGCGTTTCATTTTTGCTTGCCCGTTTGGTCTCTATAAAATTATAGGCGATTTTGTGTATTAAACATAAAGGTCACTATTATAAGATCATTCGTTAATTGAGCTGGTTGAAGGATTCAACATTGATTTATCCCTACATACTTTACACCAAGCGAAAATGTAGTATTACAATTACCTTCCTATTGTTTAAGCCTCGCTATGTGGTACTTACATGCATTCTAAACCTTTTAAATTTCTTCAGGTATGATTTTCAATAAAATATCGCCACTCTGTTGAATTTATGAATGTGATCGACTGAGAAATCCATTTTAGCGCATTTTTTTAATGGTAAAGAATAGAATTAATGTTATCCTTAAACTGGCTACATTTTCAAATGCCGAAAAATCAATGAAACTAAATCATATCTTAGAAAGTACTTAAATAGTTCTTTCATGAAGAAAACATTCGTCATGGAATTTACGAATGATTTCATAATTAATGCTTAATCTTTTTCCAAAATGCGTAAAAGTAATAGAAAATAATAAGATATTCTGAGTTCTGTAACTTATTAACTTAGTTTAGAGATTGTTTACTTTTAACTTTAATTATAATCGTTTAAAATTAACGGAAAACAAATTTGGCAAACTTAATACTCCATTTATAAGGCAGCTTAGCGTATTTATTTGCGGTCGCGAGTACATTACTTATTAATAAAAATAACTATGAGATTTTTTTTCGAAGCGAAGTATTAAGTTTGTCAAATAATATATGAATGTTTTAAAGTACCTAGTAAAGTAAAACTTGAGGGACGTGTTCTGAGTACAAATTTGATCTTGTAGTACTGGAGTGTTGGAGGCCTTAAAAATGTATAATAGATACAAAACACTAGAAAAAGAACGTTTAATATTGATCAGTGGCGAAGAGACACACGATCCCTATTTTGCGCTACAGATATTCTGCAAAAGAGTCATTCTGCGAAAGGGACATTCTGAGAAATGGACGTTAAGCGACTGAACCATCCCATCGGCTGGCCTAAGTAATTTATTCTCCAACTTAGCAGTTGGAGAACGGACAATTGTACATTTACTGTAGTCTATCTTTTTTGAATACGGAGTAAAATGACATTTGTAGAGTTGCCTGTTTTCATAAAATTTTAAACATTTATGTAGTTGTTGTCGACAGTTTTATCGATAGAGTGTGAAAGAAGATAACATTTTGCCAAAAATGACTGAATTGTGTATATTACGACGTTCTAATGATGACTAATTGCATTATTGTCTTCTTTATTCTTATTTTGACAGTGGGCCTACTGTCATCGAAGTCTATTTTTATTCATGTACATTTTAACAAGAATTTTATTATCTACAACAATCACAAGGATTTGATTATCTATATTAAATTTAAATTAAAAACTTTATAATATCTCTCCAAAATACAGAGTATTTTTCATAAGCATAGTTCTAAATACAGTGTATGTATGTATTGTATTGTGTGTAATGTATTGAACTTACAAAAATTGACAATTTAAATGAACTATTGCTCAATAATTGGACGAATGAAACAAGTTAGGCTATTTATTCCATAAGCGTGACCAATATTCAGTAAACAGTCGACAGAACATTTATCGACTTCAATTACTGGCTGCTCGCAAGCGGGCAACACTTGCGCCATGAACTGACATTTTACTCAGTCTTCGAAAAAGACAGGACTACCTATATACGTACTTTAACACCCCTTCGCACAAAGCGCAATGGCATCTATGTCATAGTAATGTTGCCACAAACCGATGTTATACCAAATCAACGGAATTCACTCCGGGGTACCCAGACCAGAAACAATTTAGAAAAATTCGTTTCTCAAATTGGTCTTACCGGGATCGAACCCGGGACCTCCTTGTCTAGTATCTGCAGTGCAAACCGTTGGATCACTGAGGTCATCAACATAAAAATAAACATTTTTTACTATAGGAACCTCGGTGCCTCTACCATAAGTTTCAAGTGATAGTTGTCACTAGATTTTACAATTTTGTAAAAGAGAGATTGTACAAAAAAGCAGCGCCCCAAGTAATATACAAAATGGTACTTCTTCTTGTGGCTTTACGAGAAGAAGTAACATTTTGTACATTATATATTTCCCGAAAGCAAAAGGTGCTTTTCAAACGAACGCGTACCATCGCTGCTTTACGTTGGGTGACATGGCGTGTATCTCTTCTCCATTCCATCTTCAAGTGTCCATCAATCGCCGCTGATAACTACTTCCCTACAGACTATAAACAACCTCGCACTCCTGTCGTTTAGTACGTTCCTAACATTTTATTTTACCGTTTAAAATGTTGTATCGGTCGGTATGTGTATATACACTCCCGGGCATACAATTCGAACCATCTGGCGTTTTTATTCTTAAAGGGCTAGAATATAAAAATGTTATTGTCATCGAAAAGTTATCCCGGTTTTACAAATTCAAATTTTCAAACGTAAATCACGTTTAGTATACCAGTTTCAAAGTTGCCTAATAGTTTTAGATTAATCAAAAATTGTTCACGCTTAGGGCATTTAGGGAGACTTCACTCTAGACGCTTATAAAAGCGCTACAGTGGTACCACTGTGGCGCTGCAGCTACGTCAC